GTTTAATTAAAGAATTAAACATATATTAGTGATTAATTGTAAATTAATCACACATAGGTGGCATTAAGCCGTGAGCAATTAATCAAATTTTTCCAAATTTGAGTACATAAACCGTGAGTTTTCTTCCTCTATAGGAAACCAATGTTTCCCTCAAGTTTTAGTATGCAACGTGGCACGTGTAGAAGTGTCTTAGTCATCCTTAGTTATGCCCAAAAACTAGCAAGTGTTAGCACATGATTTAGCCACATCATGGCTTCATCATCTCACCTTTGGTCCGTGCAAATAAAAGGGGGGGTACTTAGGCGATTTTTCTCCATTTTCCTTAAGGTGTTCAAGCAGCATATTTCCTATCTAGATTACCCCCTTCAGCAGCAAGTTTAAATCAAGCGAATTCCCTAAATTTTCGTATATTTCCCATTTCAATCGCACGGCAAATAAGGACATCGCACGGAGTACACGCGAGGAAGGAAGCCACGCCTATCTTCCGTATTCCGTCGAACGTTCCGAGAGGTAAGGTTCTTTTCTTGTAAGAATCATGATATTAAGGTTGTTCAGAGATAAGTGTTCGGATTATTGACGAGAAATTTAAGTAAAATCGTGCCTAAGTCCGATCATGTTTAAGTAGGTTTATATCCGAACAAGTTTCGAATTCTTCCGGCAACTTTCGAACCATTATTGTTTAAATAGCCAGTTTAGTTAATTTCATGATTAATCAGTTCAGTTTTGTTGAGTAAAGATGAGGTTTGGCGATGAGTTGGCCCGAGACCGTAGCCAACGCCTATCGCGCGTGGCCTCGGGTGGCTTCGGGCCGAGGGTGTTGCCTTCAGTAATAATCATGTGTATCCGTATGACTAAGTCTTAAATTGTTTCAGTATGATGAGCATGTTGAGTTGTTCTGTAGTTGTCCGTTAATAATTTATTTTCGGCCGAGCGACGGCGCATAGCCGTCGGCGGCGCACGGGCGTCCGCCGCGGCCTTTTCATGCTCATGGTGTGTCAGTTATATTTCCAGGTCCTAATATGCATGTTAAGTCAGATAGTGATCAATGATGTTATATTGGTCGAGAACCTTTTGGTTTTGGTCGAGGTTGGCCGTATGCCGTAGGCCTCGCACGTAGCGAGCCTACCACGGCCGTGGGTTAGACCCAGCAAACAAATTCAGCCATTTCATGTTAAATTCAGTTTATTATGCATGTTATGTCAGAACATGTTAATTAAATTCATTTCGGTCGGAGAATGTCGCCGGACGGTCGGCAAGGGGTCGACCGTGGTCGCGCTGCCGCACGTAGCGGCAGCAGCGCATCGGCCAGCGACCAGCGTGCCAGACAGCGCGCGCCAGTGCAACGGCGTG